GACAGGATGAGAACAGCACAGGGAATTGGGGTCGGTACCTAACATCACCATGAGGTCCCCCAGCTTCTGCATGGGCCCCTGCCCAGCCCACACCTTCTGCATCTGTAAAAACCTCGCCCTCTTGCCCTTCAGCTGAGCTGCCTCTGCCTCACTCACTGCAGGCCTGAAAGAAACAGGAAYGGTGTCAGTGAGTGCTGTGCTCACACCCAGAGGGGCACAGGATGGGGGGCAGCAGTGGCACAGGGGCACAGCCTGCCAGGAGCCCCTCARGCCCAGGCACCCACCTGTCAAACTCCTCAAAGAGCTCCCTGACGGTCATGGCAGACACGATGGTGATGCTGTAGGGCAGGCAGTCCTGCTGCCTGCTCAGTGCCAGCATCTTTGCGTAGCGAGGAGCCACGGGAAAAGTGGCCATCACTCTGCCCAGGGGACTGATGGGGCAGCTCAGCTTGGCTGCTAGCTGCTGGTTCAGCCTGGGGGAGCAGAAAAAAATGCCATGTAATGAAATAAGTTTGAATTAGAATACCTTTGTGCTCCTGGTTTTGGCAGCACATTTAATTTGATTTTTCTCAAGGTCAGGGGAAGACTCCTCTTCCTGCAGCAGCTCCCACCAGCCCTGCATGGAACATTCCCAGTCCTTCCCTGCCCAAACACACCCAGAGGGGAACCAGAGGCTGAAATGATGGCAGTTTGAGCACCAAAGCACATTTTTGGATGTGAGGGCTGAGTGGGGAGAGCACAGGCTCAACAGAGCAGGRAATCACTGAGCACCACAGACATTACCTTCCTGTCATGGGGGGCTCCTTCAAGGCTCCCAGGGCTATCAGCAGCTCCTCAGCTGCTGCCAGYGCTTCCGTGGGAGGTGGAGTTGGGAATGGGAAGTTGATAACCTGGGGAAACARGAGAAAAACCCCTCAGTGCAGCCCTGACACAGCTCCYGCTGCTAAACAGCAGCAAGAGGCTSTGCAGGGGAGTGAAACCCTCCCCTCTGCTCGTGTGAACCAAAGAAAACACTTGGGATGTTTGGCAGGAGCGAAAGGAAAGGACACAGAATGGCAGGAAACGCTCGGAACAAAAACAGGAATATCAGAATCGCTGCCACGGACTGCGGGCACCGCCTTAGGGCAGGCTGCTTTCAGCTCTAAATTTAAGTGCTGTGCTTTCTGAAACTGCTCCAGCATCTCCAAAACACAGCCCCTGTTCCGACAGGGCTTTTTTTTAACATCTAAGAATATAAGAAAGCATTCACTGCCTGAACAAACACGTCTGTTAAGGCCTAGTGGAATTCAGAGCAGCTTCTGCAATTTGCAGAACCAAAATGGAGTCTCAGAATCTTAATTTCTACCACAGGCAATGACAAYAAAAGACATTTCTGTTTGTTTCTGGCTCCTAAGGGCAACCACTTTAAAGGCTGYTGCAGCACAAAGCCCTTCCCAACTCACCTTTTCTATATTTAATGCCTTCATCTGCAGAATCAAGTCTTCCACYGGTCGCTTTGTTATTTCTGGAGCAGAAAATTTCTCAAAGTCCATGAAMACTGCTGAAGAGTATAACCTACCAGACCAGAAGCGCTGTTTAGATTCTTAAAAAAAATTTTAACTCAAAAGATATGCACAAAAAATTAGCAAGGGATTAAAAAAAAAGGCAGCAGCGGATAGCATTTCCAGAACCAGATCATTATTTACATGGTTGGGGCATTGCCTTATTCACAACAAGTTAAATTTGGCTTGGAGTTAAATCCATCTGGCCATGGTGAAATCCATCTGGCCATGGTGAAATCCATCTGGCCATGGTGAAATCTAATCCAGCCATGAAAAAATCAGAGTTTTCAGCACGAGAAAGGCCCCAAACCCAAACCAACATCTCCAGTGACAGCGCACATTTGGCTTCACCTCTCCCAAGGGATTCAGGGCGACCCCAAAGCATTTCCAGCAGCATGGGGAAGGGACAGTGGGATGGGGATGATGGTAAATTCCCTGTGACACCCTGGGCTGTTTGTCTCTTCTGTGGAATGGGCAATGGGACAGGGATGATGGCAATCCCCACGGACACACCCTGGGGTGTTTGTCCCTCCTGTGAAAGGGGCAGTGGGACAGGGATGATGGCAAATCCCCTGTGACACCCTGGGCTGTTTGTCCCTCCTGTGGAATAGGCAGTGGGACAGGGATGATGGCAATTCCCTGTGACACCCTGGGCTGTTTGTCCCTCCTGTGGAAGCAGCAGTGGCACAGGGTCGATGGCAATCCCCACAGACACACCCTGGCCCATTTGTCCCTCCCATGAAAGGGACAGTGGCACAGGGACAATGGCAATCCCCACAGACACACCCTGGCCCGTTTGTCCCTCTAAGGAAAGTGGCACTAGGACAGGGACAATGGCAATCCCCACAGACACACTCTGGGCTGTTTGTCCCTCCTGTGGAATGGGCAGTGGCACAGGGATGATGGCAATCCCCATGGACACACCCTGGCCTGTTTGTCCCTCAAGGGGCAGTGGCACAGGGTCGATGGCAAATCCCCTGTGACACCCTGGGCTGTTTGTCCCTCCCATAAAAGGGGCAATGGGACAGGGACAATGGCAATCCCCACAGATACACCCTGGCCCATTTGTCCCTCCCATGAAAGGGACAGTGACACAGGGACAATGGCAATCCCCACAGACACACCCTGGCCCATTTGTCCCCAGCCATGTCCAGCAGCAGCTGACCTGTAGCAGTGGCCTGGCTCGGTGCGGCCGGCCCTGCCTGCCCTCTGGTTGGCCGAGGCCTGGGATATCCAGGTGACCCTGAAGGACGAGACCCCCGTGATTCTGTCGTAGAAACGTTTCTTGACTTTGCCACAGTCCACCACGTATTTGATGCCGGGGATGGTGAGGGACGTTTCGGCCACGTTGGTGGCCACCACGCAGAGCCTGGTGCCAGCAGGAGGGGCCTGGAACACCTGCAGGGGACAGAGGGGACAGAGGGGAGTGTAGAGGCTGTGCCAGCAGTGGAGGGTGATGCCTGATGATTTTTGCTTTTCCTTTTTATGCTTTCTGTACCCTCTATGCATCCGCCTGTACCCCTTAGTCCACATGCTTGTAATTCCTGATATTCCAGCTCAGTTTAGGAGTTCTGCAGGGCAGAGAGACCAAACATCCTCAGGAAGGGCTCAGTGTGCCCTGTGCTATCTTAAACCCGAGCTCAGCCTTGGGGGAAGCCTTCTGTCCAGAACATCTTGTGTAAACTGGGCTCTGATCTCATTTGGGGGAGGGATTCATTAGGATAGAGGGACATTACTGCATTTGTGAAGTTTCTTATTGGGGAATCCTAGACAGAAATGCTAATTCCTGAAACCTATAAAACTTGTATCTGTGCTGTACACGGGGGTGCATTCTGCCATCAAGTTGTGCATCTGGGATCACAAATACCGAGGTAAAACCCTTTTTATCACCTCAACCATGTCTGTGTCATTATTACAAACTGGCCTTTCAAGACAACAAGGGACAGGCAAGGGACAGGCAGTGCTGTGAAGGGATGGTGGCACATGTGGCACTGCAAGGGGAACTTCAAGGGGAATCCAGAGTCAGAGATTTAACTCTGAGTGCAGCTCTGGAGCTCTCTGTCCAGCTCARTCAGGCCTCAGAAGTGACCACAGGGGCTCCCACAGCAGCACTGAGCTGTGTCCAGTCACCTCCAGAGAAGGAGGRCACATGAGATCTGTTCAAGCTGCTCTTGGCTGCAGGATCCCCACGGGGCACAGGATGGATTCTCAGATCCTGCAGGATTGTCACTGACCAGCTCTCCCAGCCTGCTGAGGTGGCACTTTAGGGACACCACAACCCAAGCCAGGCCTGTCTCAGTCCCACCCCAAACTGCCCACAGGGCCACTCGAGCTGAGGAAGAGTCCAAAATGGGAATTTCAGCTCATTTATGATTCCAAGCACTGATCACACCGATCTGTAGGATCTTCTGCTCATCACAATAAATCAATCCTTTACCTTGGCCTGTTTCTCTGGTGCCAGCAAGGAATAGAGCGGGAGCACAAACAGTGGGAGGGAYGAATCTGATTTCTCATCTGTGGGGAAACAAACCAGTAATGTTCCTTACAACTTCCAGCATTGTTCCTTACAACTCCCAGCTTAGCCCCAACACCATCTCCACCAACACCCCTTCATAGAAAATAAGGAAGAAATTGGTTCAATTACTCAGATTGGTTCAATTGGCTCAAAGCTGGAGCTGGGAAAACTTTACAGCCTTCCCCCAAAAAGRTCTGCTCAGCACAGGACAACCCACTCACACCACTCATTTCACAGGGAGAAGGATTCTTCCTTTCACAYGTGCCAAACCTTCTTCTGAGTCTCCATCTCCTAAATCCAGGTCAAGATCAGAGCCTGCAGCRTCAGCATCGCTGTCACCATCTCTGTCTTCATCCCCTTCATCCGCTGGGACCACTGAGTAACTGCTCAGGTCAATTTTGGGGAGGGTCTGAGRAAAAAGGAGAGGTGACAACACCACGTTTAGGGGGGTACAAACAGCACTTTGCACAGATCTGTTGGCCTGAAGGTGACAGAGGGATTTGTCTGTAACATCAGTGCACCCAGAACATCAACATCTCCTGCTAACAAAGTGCAGGAGCACCTTGGCAACACAAGCATCAGCCCAAATTTTGGGTAACAGATGGTGAGATGAGAGGTAGCCCTCACCTTTCCATTAAATTTGAGTGCTCAGTATTCAATTTAAATCAGTCTCCTGCCCATAATATCCCAAATTTCAGCAGAGTGGGCAGTACAACTGGAACTCCTGAGGGGACATGTGGGGGCTCAAAGAGCTTCATGCAAGTCTGGAAGAGCTGCTGAGCAGCTCAGCTACACAGGAGCAGCATTCCCAGGGAGATTCCTGCCCCTCCTGCCTCCTGGAGCAATTCCACCCATCACACATTACCGTAACTTTCCTCCTCTTCCTCGATTTCTTAAATTTCCTCATTTCTTCCACTGAGTCTTCTCTGTCATCCTCTCCTCCTACAAAACCAGCCAGTGGGACAGCTTTTAGCTGAGTGTGCTTTCCTCTTGGGAAAGGCAGAAGGAGCAGTCTGGTCCCACTCCCACCTTTCTGGGGATGCAGAGGGTCACAGTGTGAGGAGCAAACAGCACAGAGGAGGCAGAGGGGAACAGGGAGGGATCATGCACATAAAACCTACCAAACTCATAAATTTAACATCAGTCGTGACCATCACCCACAATGAGCCCTCTCCCCAAACCTTATTTTTTGTGGTTTTTAAATAAAAATTCATAATTTTAGATGCAAAGCAAGCTCAGTTCTCAGTGGGATAAATTCAAAGTTTAACAGTTTCCATAGCTTTACCTGCAGTGTTGTTTTTTTGGTATGGGAAGGCTTTCCTCAATCTCCTACAAAGAGAGTGAACTTCTGCCTGGCCTGTTAAAAACACCAAAATCCCACCTGCAAGAGAAGGAAACACTCTCAATTTCTCATTTAAAASCTTCAGATCTCATTCTTGAGGAAAGACAAGTTGAATCTGGTGTGCAGCACCAAGGAGGAACTCGAGAAGTTTGTTGGTGTAACTGTGATTGAACTGAAGGGTGGTTTKCACAAGAAAAACCTTCTTTGTAAAAGCACACACAGCTCAGTGCAGTCCCATGTTCAATTTGAAAAAAAAAAACTCATTCCAAAATAAAACAAAGAAAAAAAACAAAAACAAAAAAACCAACAACAACAAAAACAAAAAAAACAACAACAAAAAAAGCCCCAAAACCAAACCAAGTAACGACAAAAAAAAACCAGAACCAACCAAAAAATCCCCACCCAATAAAACAAATAAAAAACCCTCACAACACAACAAACTTCAGCCATGCTGAGGATGAGGAATTTGAGAGATTTTCAGCTGTGARGGTCCCTCACCTGCAGGCAGCATCCGATGGATTTTACACACCTTCCTGAAGCACTCCCCRCTGTAATCATCCAGAGGGGTTTTCTTGTTAAAATGAACAGTCACAGGGAACTGCCTCGCATCCACCTGCACAGAAACACAAAGCAAGGGTTTGTTTGCTGTCATTATTCCAGGGGACAGCCACAAAAGCTCACCCTGTGTTTCTGGTCAGCTCTGACCTACAAAACACCAGAGCCACACAGAAATTATTGGTGTTTTCCACYCTGAAAACCACAAAACCGTGCTGGAAACCAAAGCTTTTCTCACTTTCACATCATCAACCCACACTGAGGCTTTCCAGTTCTCCWSCACCATAACTTGAAGAGTTTTTCARGATAATCAGATCCTGCCAAGGTGGTTTTCTGATAAAAGTGGAAAGAAAAACACCGAGTCCCCGAAGAAACAATAGCTGAACAAAATGACTGTTTTTAAATGGATATATGAAAGATTTCAGCAGCAGCTGGAAGGACAGGAGTGCCTTTATTTTGTAACTGGTTTTATAAAGGCCACCCTTGCTGTTTTAGCTGCTCCATCTGACCCAGAACAGTACCTGGATGACRGGAGGTTTGACAGAGAAGAGCCTGGTGTTGTCAGTGAAATCCTCCACCCGCAGCGTGGCTGACATGATGATCAGCTTCAGGGGCATCCCTTTCTGTGGGGACACAAACCTGGCACTGATGTCTSATGATTTTTGCTTTTCTTTTTACACTTCTGTACCCCCTATGTATCCGCCTGTACTCCTTAGCTTACATGCTTGTAATTCTTGAAGACTGATATTCCAGCTTAGTTTAGGTGTTTTGCTAAGCAAAGAAACCAAACATCCTGAAGAAAGAGTCAGTGTGCCCTGTGCTATCTTAAACCCGAGACTCCAGCCTTGAATAAAGCCTTCTGTCTAAAATATCTTGTGTAAACTAAGCTCTAGCTTCATCTGAGGAAGAAATTCATTAAAATAAGGAGACATTACTGCATTTGTTAAGTTTCTTATTAAAGAATCCTAAATAGATATGCTAATTCCTGAAACCTATAAAACTTGTACCCGTGCTGTACACGGGTGTGCATTCTGCCATCAAGTTGTACATCTGGGATCCCAAATACCGAGGTAAAACCCTTTTTATCCCCTTAACCGTGTCTATGTCATTATTAAAAACTGGCCTTTCAAGGCAACATCACCCCGTGCCCCACACATCCCCACAAAAACCCTGCTGCTGCCAACAATGAACATCTCACTCCCCCCAGCCTGCTGGTACTCAATTATCCACACGTGTCTTGTGGCACTCAAAATCTCAAATTAACTGGTTTTTGCCTGAAAAGTCATCTGTTGGTATTGGTATTTGTATTTACCTTTTTTTTTTGTATGCTCTGTGCTTTTTCAATCACACAGGAAGACAAATGTGTTAACTGAGCATTATTTCATATTTTTGTCTGAGTGTTATTTCACGTTTCTCTCTGAGTGTTATTTCACGTTTTTGTCTGAGTGTTATTTCACATTTCTGTCTGAGTGTTATTTCACATTTCTGAGTGTTGTTTCACATTTCTGTCTGAGTGTTATTTCACATTTCTGAGTGTTGTTTCACATTTCTGTCTGAGTGTTATTTCACGTTTCTGAGTATTATTTCAGGTTTCTGTCTGAGTGTTATTCCATGTTTCTGTCTGAGTGTTATTTCACGTTTCTGAGTGTTATTTCAGGTTTCTGTCAGATTTCCATGGAATTCCCTCCCCATCACAGAGAATCCCTCACCTTGTGCCGGAGGGGCACGATGCGGGACAAGAGGCCGATCAGGATATCCGTGTACATGCTCCTCTCGTGGGCTTCATCAATGATGATCACTTTGTACTTGGACAGCAGGAAATCCTGGGGACACAGAGAATTCACCACAGGAGCTCCAGCTGAGGATATCTGAGTCAGGACACCCCACAGCTACACAAACACTGCTCCCATCTCACATATCTGTGGATTTCTCGCACATCTGAGCACAGTTTTTAATGTGCTCACCTCCACAAAGCAGCCTGGCTGCCAAGAATCTCTTTGCACTCTCATTTTACACAGCAAGATAATCTAATGTGTAAGGGTTTAGGCAGGAATATCAAAGGTAGAGATGAAATAAATCTCTGGTGCCGAAAATTCTGATTTGAAAGGTTGGCAACAGACACACAAAACATTTCCCTTTTTATAAACTGAGGACAGCCACCTACCTTCTGAATCTCTTTGAGCAGCACCCCATCTGTCATGAACTTGATCTGAGTCTCATCTGTGACRTTCCCCTCGTAGCGGATCTGATAGGAAACCACTCTGCAGGGAAACACCAGGGAGTGCAGGAAACAGCACAGGGAGGAGCAGAGAGCTCATGTCACACAAAAAACACACAAAAAACACCCCAAAACCATCCCCCAGCCCGCTGAGAGCTCACCTGTGTGACAGATTCATCTCCTTGGCAACTCTCTGGGACATGGACACTGCGGCCACGCGCCGCGGCTCCGTGATCCCAATGGCACCGCTGGAACTGCAGAGGGAGAAAAGGATGGGCTGCTTTCATAAACAGAGGAGCACCAGGAAAAGGGGAAAATGACAACAGCATTTCTGCACAGTGGCTTTAAGTTGGCATCAATCACACAGCATCACTCTTAGTTGGAAGAAAAACACAAAGAGGAAGTTTTGGGGCTCCCTCCTGTTCTACGTGCATTGATTGATCTAAGATGCATGGAGCACAGCAATGTTCTKGCCAAACAATGTTTTTTGTGTCTGCAATTCCATTTGCTGCCATTTAAAATCCAGTTCCTACCTGGCATATCCAGCTTCATACAGGAACTGAGGCACTTGTGTGGTTTTCCCACTTCCCGTCTCCCCGCAAATGATCACAATGGGATTCTCATTAATGGCTTCCATCACCACTTGCTCTTCAGCAAGGATTGGAAGCTTCAGCCTTGCTTCCTAAACAGTGCAAAACATGTATTTTAGTTGCATTGTTTCCCATTCCTTTTTTTTTTTGTTTTCCCCAGGATTTTAAACTGTTACCTTCCTCAGACCGTAAAACCCACAAAAAGGAACTCTGGGAAAGCTCCAAACCAGTTAAAACCACACCAGCAGATCTGAGAACCAGAGCCATCAGAGCAGCTTCTCACAAAGAACATGGCCAGCCCTGCACTTTAATCTGAGAAACTTCAGAGTCCCTCGAGTTTCTTAATATAGCATTTGAAGGGAAAACTCATTTCACAGAGTGCTCAGACTCACAGAGAATTTTTCCCGTTTCTACAATGTCCTACCTACACCAAATGGGACAAAACCATCCAGAGTAAGATACAGCAAATGGAGAGATAAGAGGGAYTTCACAAGATTTTCCAGCAAAGCACAATAAAGGACTGCTAATGGATTCTGCATGTAAAACTATAGAGAAATGCTTAAATTGTAAAACAAATTAAGCTTTCCTTCTGCTGGAGCAGACAGGTTTAAAGCTCAGCACACGCTGCTAGAACAAGAGCCCTGAGAGCCCCCAGCTGATGGAACCCACCCTTCCCCAGCCCTTTGGGGAGYCTTTCCCTGCCCACAGCTCCTCACCTGCACCTCAGCACTCCTGTCCACGGGGATGAACACAGCAGGCTGGCACAGAGCTGTGCTGGGCACTGCTGGGGGCAGCGGCGTTTTGGGACCCGCTGGGTCAGCCCCTGCCTCCTCCTCTGCTCCCTGGGGCTCTGCAGCAGCGCTCACAGCCCTGCCCGAGGGCTCCTCAGGGGCTGCTTTCTGCTCTTCCTCCTCCTCTGAGCTGCTGGGCTCCTCCTCAGGCTCCGATTCTGAGCTGTGCCTTCTCTTGTTGGCGCCGCCGATGCTCCTGATCTTCTCAGGGACGTCACTCCTCGGCTCCTGGGTCACCCTGGAACAAAACAAACATGTGAACTGTGGTTGGGCACCTTAAACCAGCCATGACTGCCACAAAAAACAGGATTTCCACTGCTGGAGGATTTCATGACTTTGCCAGGTAAAGCCTCAGATGGCCCAACTCCTGGATTTCTATCTAATTCTGCCCTATCCCGGGGTTTATTCATTTATTCTGAAGGCATCTTTAATTCAGACTCTTGATTAATCTAGCCACTAAGAATCACATCAGYAGATGTTTTCCAATACAAGAAAAAACAGGTTTATTTGAAGTAAATATTGATATAAGTTAAATGTTTATCCACCAATTTTGTAGTTTAGAATAATTGCTAAAACTCTGCAGACAGGTCACCCACCTCATCCCTTAAAGTTCTTTTAGCTAACATCCTATCAAACAAGAAAATAACCATCACATTATCAGATAAAAATGGCAAATTATTTAACTCCATCCATTCTGAAGAACCCATTTGCAGCAAAAAGAAGAAAAACCCAGGGAAAGAAGCTCAGAATGTTTCTGTTCAAACACAGAGATCAACTGCAAGGGTTCTACCCCAAAATCATTTTACCTTTTAGCCTGGTACATGCGCTCCCCGATGCCCAGTTTGGAAGTTGTGTAGAGGAGTTTCATTTCTGCCTCAGGAGCTTGGACCTCGTTCAGTTTGCTCAGCAGCTCAGCTCTCTGTTGGGGGAAAAACAATCCAAATCAGGGCTTGTTTTGACCAGGAAATCATTTCATTTCAGGATTTGCACTCAAGCATTACAGAGCGTGCTCTGTGCTCTGGTAAATCCTGCTGGGCAGTTGTAGCAGAGCAAAAATAGAAATGGGGGYTTGACATCAGTGCAAGGAGCAGCTCAGCTGCACCCTTCAAACAGCAGCAAAGAAAATGGGTTTGGATTAAAACTCTGCAATGAGGTCTGGAGCAACAGAGCCTCCCCTCAGTTCCCTCACACGGACACGGCACGGGCAGGAGGTCAGCCCTAAACTGATCCAAAACCACAGCTCCTTTGTGAAAGCATCATTCAGGCACCAGAAGGAACAGGGATTTACCTGGGAAGGTTTTACAAAGACAGAAAAGCTCTGTTTCCATACTGGAAATGAGCATTTCACAAGAGCTCACAGGCAGTGTTAGGGGTGCATGGAGGTTTGGGCCAAAGCTGCTCATCCAAACCCTTTCATGAAGTGCTTTTAAAATGTAATAAAGTCACTGATTTCACCACACTTGTCTGCTTGGGCAGGAACAGCAGCCCCAGAAACCCCTGGACTGTCCCCTGTGCCCTCACCATCATCACCCACYTAACATTAAATCACTTAAATTTCATTTCAAAACAACACAAACCCAGTGTTTAAAAGAACACAGAAGCTGCAATGMACCTGTTTTTTCTTTTCCTTCTGCTCCAAGACTTTCTGCAGGTTTTTCTTCTGTTTTTTGCTCAGGGGTTTCTTCTGCTGTTGCACAACACAGGGGACTTTCTTCTTCTTTGCTTTTTTTGCTGGCAGGACCAGGGCATTGCTTTGGTCAATCCCCTTCAGCGTYGCTCCATCTGAAGGGAAGTGTTTGGTTATTCCCCCGTGCCAGGTGGATTATTTTCAGCTCACTGCTCAGCAGGCTTATCAAGCACCAGGCCAGATTTAGCTGTTTCAAACAAACACAGCCCTCACACCCAGCCAAAAAAAAAAAAAAAATCTGCAATATCAGCAAGGGCAAAAGACCACGAAACTGGGGATTCAATAACCCTGAGCTTACTGCAGCCCTGAGGGCGATTTACCATCGTTTATGTAACAGCACTGTGCAATTTTTGCCTTTTTACTCAATTCCCCAGGGTCAGGGGACAGCACAGGACACAGCGTGACCCGGGGTGACTCCCCAGCTCCTGCCTCACATTTTAACAATAAAACACTGCATTCTAAATTCTGAATAATAAAAACAGAATAACAAACGTGATTTTTTTAAAAAAAAGTAACGTTTGAAAAAGCAAATCTTAAACCTAAGAAGGATGTTTAGGAGTTACTTTAATAAATAATGGAACCAGTGAATGTTGAGTTGGAAGGGACCCACRAGGATCATTGCTGAAGGCAGGACCTGCTCTGACAGGGCTGTTAAAGCAAAGTCTGAAAAATCACAAAATCACTGAATCAATTTGGCTGGGAAAGATCTCTGAGTTTAACCAAGGACCCAACACCAGCACGCCAACCGCAAATACAGCAAAGATAGGACAGCAGCTCTGCGGTCCCTCCAGCCCGAGCTGGCGATAATGAACACAATAATGGATGATAATGAACAGAACGGGCGGGCAGAGCCGCGCCGGGTCCCGGTCCCGRTCCCGCGCACCTCCCAGCTCCAGCGGCAGCTCCGGCGGATCGGCGGCGGGCGGAGCGGGGCCCTGCGGCAGCCGCGCCTTCCAGTTGTGCCGGCGGCGGGCGCGGCCCATGGCGGCGGTGACAGCAACGCGACACACGAGTGGCGACACACGATATGCGACACGGGACACACGAGTGGTGACACCGACACCGATATCCGACACCGACACCGATATCCAACACACAAACCGGGCCGGACCCACGTGCGGCTCCGCTGCCGCCACTTCCGGGGCCCGCGGGATCTCGCGAGAAGAGGCGAGAGAGAAGATGTGCGCATGCGCGGGGCGGCACAGCGGGGTCTGGCCCCGCCCATCCCATCCCATCCCATCCCATGGATCCCATCCCATCCCATCCCACGGATCCCATGGATCCCATCCCATGGATCCCATCCCATCCCATCCCATCCCAT